AAGAGCGTTTTGGTTTAATGGAAGAAAAAACCCTTTTTTTTTCATTCAGGAATTGTTTGACATCATCCTGGATGAGAACCAGCTGGAAGACGCCTGCGAGCACCTGGCTGACTACCTGGAGGCTTACTGGAAGGCCACACACCCCCCGAGCAGCAACCCTCCCAACCCGCTGCTCAACCGTACCATGGCCACGGCGGCTCTGGCTGCCTCCCCTGAGCCCGTCTCCAACCTGCAGGTACAGGTGCTGACCTCCCTGCGCAAAAATATGGATATGTGGCCTGACATGGACGGTACTGCTGTAACCAATGAGGGCAAAGAAGCAGAACATGCTCTCTAAAGTCCAGCAGAAAGAGAGAGAGAGAGAGAGAGAGAAACCAGGGGGACACTCCGGCCACTCAACCTCAGTCTAAACCCAGCAGTCTGCTCTCTTGAGCCTGAAGGGGGGAATCAAACCCTGATCACGGTGTACATAGAAACACAATGTAGATGTTAACTCAGTTTAAAGGTAGAGTATGTAGACACGATGCATGTAGTTACTCCTTCTTCCCTGCAGAGGGTGTATTGATCAGTTTGAATGCCCAGGTAAAAAAAAAAAGAAATCTAATGTTGGGAGTCAGCCAATACATTTTTCACAAGACCAAGTAAAGCATTTTTTACATTGAAGGCTAGCCATTGCCTACCAGATCAAAGTCATGTCTCATCGCTGAGCCACACTGACACCTGCTGGACTCTAAAATCCTTATTTTAAAATACCTTAAATTACAATGTTTGATAGCGAATCTTAAAATGTTATTTCATTAGCTACATTTTTGCCTTTACATCAGGTTCTGCACATGGACTGGTAGTGCATTAAAATGTATATAAGATAGGATAACTTTGAAATGATTATTATTACTATTAATATTTCTAAGTCTTACATGCTCTACCTTTAAGAGATTTAGGCAGCATTTTCATGTGGGTCACACATGGGTTTACTTGGGCTGCTTTGTAAAAATTAGAGATAGGTTACTCCTCCCTCCCCCTCTCCCCCCCCAGCCCACATATGGGGCCCACAAGAAACAGGTGGACACACCATTTGGATCGGTCATTTACACCCACATCAGTGCTGCAGTGAAAAATCGCTGGCTCAGGAGATCCTGGTTCCCACATCTGAAGTTTGTCAACACCTACGGTACGAGCAAAATACAAGGTCTGTACTCCGAGCAGCAGCTGATCCTTCATTACCAAACCAGTGGAGGCTGCCCAACTCAAAACACACTGGATAACCAACACAGCCCCTGGTTCTGAGCACTGAGCCCCCCCATTACCTCCCCCCTCCTCATCTATTTCTCTGTAATCATCAGTAGAATGACAACTGCCCCCACCCTGCCCTCCTTCGTCCCAGGGCTACTTTTTCAAGCACTTTTCATTACTGGTTGAGATCGAGTCCAGTTTTGCTGTCCTCCTCCTCCTCCTCTTCCTTCTCCTCCTCTGTGTTGCCATGGTACCACCCCTGAAAACAGCAAGTCATGTCCGCCTCTTCAAACAGAAACGCTGAGTTCGGTGCCTACTACTGCTAATACTGTGTTCAGTACTGCTTCAATGGTGGTTTCTAACAACTAAATACTAATAAGAACAAATGGATTCTGGGCTAATTCCTGAATATCTTTCCCCCGTAATTGAGTCTTTAAAACACTGCAGTAGCATCGTTCTGTCTGCATTATCAAAAACAAAACAAAAACAAGTCACTTTATTGGTACTCTTTATTTAGAGTACTTAAAAGTCTTAAGTCTCCCGTCAAAACTAAAGGCTCTGTGAGGACATTTAGCTCCACCTGGTGACAGCAGTGTGAAGTTTTCATATTGGTAAAACCATTGGCACGGTACCATGACATTGAGCAGGGACTGGTTTCTGAGAGCTTTAACAGTATCGGCCCAAGTTTTGACTTTGATTGAAAATAGTCTGACAGTACAGTTGTATATTCAGACCAGGTTGGAAGGACTAAAGTATTTAGGAAACTGTGACGTCAGTGTTTCAGTATACATATAATTATCACGGTGGTTTTCACGGTGTTTATTTTAGCCGTCAAGTTCAACCGTCAGTTTGCCACTAGGTGGCACTGCTGCTGCAGTTGGAAGAGAAATGGACTGTGCCCGTGAATTGTTGCTTGTGACTATTTTAGTTTGCAGGTTGGAATGTGAGGATTTGAAGGCTTGACTTCACTAATCTGTTTTGTCCAGTAATTGTTTTCACATAATACTTTTCTAAGTATTATGTTTCTAACAGGGATCGTGTGTGCATGTGTGTGTCAGTGTGAGAAATCAGAAGAAAATGTCACTTAAGTATTGGGAGTTATCAGGACTGGATAAGATATAGGATATATAAATAACTTTAACGAAACCTGACCACGAAAAACATTTATCTAAAAGTAAGCAGAGCTTGATGGATACCTAAAGTAAGCGAAGAAGGTATTATAGCAGTTCAAAGCCAAATATTCTATAAAAAAATAAATAGCTGAATGTTGGTAGTGAAATACCTTAAAGCCAGGCAAATTAGCGTAGCTTAGTAACAGCTGTGCAGCTGTTAAAAACAACAGAATAACAGCCAACGGAAAATATAACTGAGATGAACAGAAATATCAAAAATAAATCAAGAAATAAATGTGAATGATTGCTGAATTAAAAGCTAGCTATATTAGTAATAGCATTTGACACATTGTTTAAGAAAAATGTCAACCTTTCGAGGTCATGTTAGCTGGATACGGGTCAAATCTTCACGCTGATTATTTTTTTTACATTATGGTCTTTTGAACTGTGTTGTTTTGCACCTTGTGGACTAACTCTGCTGACTAACTGCTGACGGTGTGCCTTTGCTCTGCTGTTTGTGTCTCTGCATGGTTTTTTTGCTGTGGCATGGTGGTGTCTGGCTGCAGGGGCCGTACTTGGTGCACGGAGAGCAGAAGCGAGAAGGTCCTCCGACAGAATGCGGTGGCAGCAGCACTCTTCATGACTATCAGACCGACCTGGGAGGGAAACCTCAGCAGCAGCAGGCGTACCTGCGCTCGTCTCGTGGCCAGCTACGGAGCGGGAGTGGACGAGGCCTTTCGCGGCAGGACACCTTTGACTCTGAGACCCAGGGCAGCCGGGACTCTGCCTACACTGAGGCCGGCGACTCCTGTATGGACATTGAAACTGACCCCTACGAAGAGCCTGAGCCCTACCGCGGGGGCGGGGGAAGTCGCCTGCACCTAGCACAGCATCACGGCAGACAGGCGTCCTGGGAAGATGAAGGAGCTGAGCCGGACCAAGAGAACCTGAACCATCCTCCTATGCCGAGCCAGACGCAGCCGCATGGACGCGCCAAGCTGAGAGAGCGTTACTGCCAGGACCCTGTGGACACAGGGGCTAACATAAGTCGCAACAAGAATCAGGATGATTGGGGGAGGGACGTCTACATCCGCTGAACTGCAACGTCTGCACGGAAATGGAAGCTGTGGGAAGGTGGCACAGATGCTTCCAAAAACTTAAGTGTGACTTCGGGGTCATGATGAGAACCAGAGCTAAATAATGAATCTGTTTACATCCCTGTACAATGTAAATGAATCAACTGCCAGATGTCATTCTCATCACCTTCCTCCAGCAGTAAAGTTATTTCTGTTTAGAAGAATTATATCGCTCTGTTTTTTGTTTATTTTTATTCTTATGTTAATACTGCATGAAAACCATGGATTTCTATACTGACAGCACGAGCACAGTAGGTGTCACAATTGTGAATCTAAGACTGTGGTCTCCTTCACTTGTAGAGTGTGAAAGCTGGTAGAGCTGTGGTCTGTCATATGTGTCCTCTGCAGTCTTTAACAGGGTCTGAAGTCCAGCATCTCCAAGTGTGCGTGTGTGTCTGTCAGGGCTGCTCTTTAACGTCACTCTGTGCTTTTGGATGTCAGGGTTTTTCCTCCTGTAGTGAGAACCAGGAGTTGAGTCTCTCATCTCCACCTCTGGTATCACCCAGACCTTAAAATAAGCTCCTGGAGAAGTTGCCATATTTAACAAGAAAAGTTCTAAGTCAACATTTTCATGTGGGTCACATGGACAAACTGGCTTTGACAGACAGCTGTTTACTTCACTTGTCAGCTCGACAAAGAACACACTCCAAAGATGTTGACCTTGTTCCTGACCTGGCTCAGCCTCACCCACCTCCTGAACCAGTCCTCAGGTTCACTCACTCCCCCACAGGTACTAAAAGTGTACCACAGTGCAGACACAACGCAGCACTCCGACACTGGTCATGTGAATGTCCTGCCCATAGACTGCATATAGAAAATGGACATTGTTGTCCGCAGCAGTAGTGGAGCCTCGGCTGCTTCACTGGTTTCTGAAGTAACTCAGTACAATTAGCTTCTCTTTGTACAGCACGGTACAGATTTTAAGCTAGTATCATGTTCTTCTGAAGACTTTATACATTGACATTCACATGGAGTTAGTTCTGAAACCAGTTAAACCATGTTTAACCAGGGCTTCACTCCTGCAACCAAACAGCAGCGCTGGTGTTTTTATATACAGTCTCCGGTCCTGCCTTAGTCACTCCACCCCTTAGAAAACACTAATTAAAAAAAATCTCCAATCACAAGTGCCGGAATGTCTCACGAAGCCATGTCCACCACTGCCACGGTGGGACGTCTTAACTCTTGTTACACTCGTTTTCATACCACGCCCGTGTGTCCTGTGTCCTGTGTCCTGCCGCTTCTCTGCAGCACTGGCTGTTACTGTGGCTTCAACAAAAAAAAACAAAAAAATCGATCTATTTTTCTTTGCACCAGCTTTGTTGTCTGTTTTGCATCTTTATATATATATATACATAAAGATATATATATAAAGAAGTTGTGTGTGGTTGTTCACTCCACCCAAGCAGCTATAGTGTGTCTGGTTCTAAATATCACTCTTCTTCCTACTCTTTTTGTTCTGGCTGCATAGGTATTTTTTTTTTTTTTTTTTGTATTTAAAAGTTTAATTACATGCATTTCTAATAGGAGTGCTGATGCGGGGATGGGGAGGTGGGGTTTAGGTGCAGCCTGGTTCTTTCCTCAGTTATCTATAATGGAAAAATCCATGAATGTCCTTGGTAGGGTGCCTCGGCCCGTCCATCTTCAAGTCAAATATATATATAGATATGAAATAATGAACAGTACATGATGTTATTGTTGCGTTCTTGCAATTGTTAAAAATATGAGATAACATGTATCATTGGTGCCTGACTGTAGCTGCATTTTGCTTTTTCCTGCCTTTCATTTTTAACCTGTGGATAAATTCGTATTTTAATTAAAATTTTAACCAGGAAGTTGACCTGTGTGAGTTCATTTCTGAGGTGAGGTGAGTTTGTGGAAGAAAAGAGTTGAGCAGATGTTAAACATTCCGAGTCTTTTCTTCTTTCTGAGGCCAGAGAAGACAGGCTCAGTAGAAAACAACAACACAGAGTTGAATAATAAATACACTTAACCAGGTGACATACAGCATTTAATTAGTACTTGTGAGTACTTTTATGTGGTATGACCCAGTTACACCTGGAGTTACATCAAAGACACATTTGGGAAGGAACCAAAATAGATATGTTAGCCACAAGCTAATAAGCTAATATAGCAGACTGAGGAAACTGTGAAAACAATTCAGCCACATTCTTTAAAAAAAAAAAAAAGACACAATAAAGAATAATGCTATATAAAATGCATTAAAGAAGTGATAAAGCATACCCCAACAAATAGATAACCGTTTGCAGACAGCAGTTTAGTTTAGAATTAGCTACCTAAACATACACCCAGAAATTAGCTGATAGGTAACCACAAATGGAAAAATATCTACAATTTTACCAATAAAAATAACAACGAAAATATCATTAGCATTGTTGCTATCAAAATTGTGCATTTTCTACAAATTAATACGACATATCCAGCTCCCAACATAGACCCTGAGTCTTTAAATTCTGTCCTAACTTTTATGCATACAGTTGAGAGTGTACAAAAGTGGAACTGACTCTATCATTTAATCACACTCCCTGCTTACATAATGTGTCTTTGTACCTGTCTCTTGACCCACAGGACAGGTTTTAGAAAGACTGCTTTGTTCCATTCACTTTGATTGTCAGAGGAAAGACACAGAGGTGTTACAGGAAAAATGTTAGATTTAATTGTTACATGTTTTTTTTTTTGGCTCTAATCCTGTAAAAACTCATAAAGGCCCATTTGTTTTTCCACTGTGTAACGTGAGATATAGAGTTGACAGACAAACAGGTTTGGGTCTTTGTCATCTTTCTGTTTCATTATTGATTGAAAAAGGAAACAAATTGAGAAGCTTATTCCAGGATGTGGTTTTTATACTTGTGTTTTGCCCGTGGCACAGTGACAATAGTCACAGGAAGTCTTGAAAGAATAAGGCAGTGGCGTTTTGTCTATGGTTAAAGCCCTGGTCTTAACAGAAAGTCTGCAGCAGAGAAGTCATTTCACAGTAACACAGAAACGATATATACTTAATATGTTTTAAATGTGTATTTTAATGAGCATACTCTACAGGCATGTACTTACTGCACAGTGTGCAAATCAAACACTTTTTTGTACCCATTACAAAACTGGTCAGACTGAGTGACCTGATCTGACCTGCCACTTAATCCACATAATATTGGGTCATCAGTAGCTGCAACTGCAATAATGAGTGACCCATATCTGGTGTCCAGCAGCACATGTGGGGTGTCCAGTGTGCCTTTATAATGTAAATTTGCAGCCAGTGTTTTTCAGAGGCCAATGTCTGGTACCCAGTGGCTCATGACTCAATCTTGGAACAAGGGGACTACAAAAAAATGTAGTGGCCCACATTTTGGTAACCACTGGTGGCCATTTGATATCATTAACCCACATGTGCCCAGAATTAACTAAAGATGGATCCTGAAGTGGGCCACTTGATGCCACCCAGAGGGCTGAAATATGACAAATGTGTTTTGTTTTGTATTCTTCATCAGAATTTCAGTCGCAGTACTTCCCGTAAATGTAAAACGTCAAATGTTACCGTAAGTATCAGTGATGGGAAAGTCCTGGGTCATGGGAATGGTTTTCTTTTTCTCTTAATTAATTCTGCGGATAAATGTGGAACAAAAACAGTTTCATTTCCTTGTTTCTGTGCGGACCAGAGGTATGTCTTAATGGGTGTAAAATCCACACATGTGTTTGTTGATACAAGTGAATTTATAATACTAGACTGACTTCTATCACAGAGGCCTTTGTTCAATTAATACCAAAAGTTGCCACCCTTAAAATGACATCATGTGACATGAAAGTGTTTGAAATGCTATATCAGCTCTTTATTTGATTTTCATAATCTCTCAGCTAAACGTGTTAATCATCCTTTGACAGGTCCCGGTCAGTCCTGACAGACAGTAGTGTACCAGGAAAAGATTTTTATCTGACCGAAACTATTTCAGTTATGTTGTCATCAGACACTATAGCTACATTCCTCGCTAGCATTTGTTCCTCGCACTGTACCAGGTGAACGGTTCAGGAAAACCAGTCACGCAGACTACGTCTTTTTATAAAATTTGACATTTAAATACATAAACACGACAGAGAGAAGCCCTTTTTCAATACAGCAGTTCTCGAAGATACGAACATCCTTATGAAGATTCCTAGACAGGAGCTTTGAGCTCCTTTATCCAGGTTAACACTGCCTTTGACTTTTTTTATGTTCTATGTTCTCTTGTATACATTGTTTAAATGTATGTTCCTTTTTATACTGTATTCAGTTCAAATCATTTATTTTGTTTTATATAAATTAATTGTATTTTTTCCTTACCATTTTTTCATTTCTCTTGTTGATCGATTTTATTGATTCACTGTGAGTCACTTTGATCTGTAGTCAAGGGCCTTGAGAATAACTGATGATTGATTGATTGTTTGATTGATTGAGTTTCTCAAACAATAGGAGCTGACCTCCCCCTATTGCCTTGTGTTTTTCCCCCTTTTCACTAAAGACATTTCATTTGTTGAGAAAAAAATAAATCAAATATTCCAGAATAGGACAGATACAGGACAAACAAAACACATTTCCTCGTACATACATCTTTTGTTCAGCATTAAATGGCTGCTTTTTAAATATAAATTTACCTCCTTCAAACACATTAATTTAAGAGAATTAAAAGGGAAACTAAAACCAGTTCCTTGTTTTCCAGGGAAGTCCTGAATCTCCCACATGATACAAACGCAGCATTACTGTGATCTTTGTACGGTTTGCGTGGTTCGAAAAAGTACCTGGTTTCCCTCCAGCTCCGCCCACTTCCACTATGATGAAACTGGTCGGTTTTATAGGCGTGGAAACACAGAGTGAGTCTGTCAGTCAGCAGTCAAGACACACACACGTACTCAGACACCCAGTTCAGTCTGACTAGTACCACACACCTTTCGGACAATATGGGATTCCTGCTCAGTAAGATGATGGCTGTGTTCGGGGACAAAGGTGAGACTGACTCCGATGATTTTTTTTCTTATTTGTCATTTTTAGTAAATTATGTAAAAATAGTATAAATACTTTTTTTTTCGTAGGTCATGGTTGACATAATTTCAAATGATAAACTAAACATTCAGGTCTATATTGGTCTTCGAATGCCAAAATAAATCAGACAAACATTTCTAATTGTTTGGCTCTAATTGTTTGGCTCATGAAAAGCAAAGAACCTTTGGACCTGGATAATGATGACATAAGCTTCAATGGTTATCCAGCAAATGTCATGATATTAACAGCAGAGGCCAAAAATTGAGATACAGTCAAGAAAACCAAAAGTATGTAATGACAATCCTGCCCCCGTGAGTGAATTGTTTAGCACTGGAGGGCATAACATGTCTGACAGTGTCCTGTCTGAAAGAATGAAAAAACATCAGCATCTGACAAAAGGATGGATGTTATGTGATGTTATGAGACCTACGTAGTTGTTCAGCTAAGGACAGGGCTGCATATCTTCACCTCGTCTGTGCTTGTTGTTCAGTCTGACTCCAGGGCGAATCACGTGCAAATGAAAACAGACATTTCACATTTTTTCCTGCAGAGCACAAAGTCGTCATCATAGGTCTGGACAACGCAGGAAAGACCACCATACTGTACCAATTGTAAGTAATTAGACTACTTTTAAATTTGTAGTATTAAAATTAGTAGTAATTTTGGTAAAAAAAAAATAGCTCAGGACTAAAATATATATTTATATATTTATTAGCTCTTATATATTATTATTATTAGCTATTTATATAGCAGCATCTTAATTATTCACACTTTTCCTAATGCAAAGCACCAAAACCTGCCAACTTTCTCTCCAGCCTGACTAAAGAAGCCGTCCACACGTCGCCGACCATCGGCAGCAACGTGGAAGAGATCATCGTGCGGAACACGCACTTCTTAATTTGGGACATTGGTGGACAGGAGAACCTAAGAGCCAGCTGGAACTCCTACTACTGCAACACTGAGGTGTGTACTACATAATATAAATATAAATATAAATATAAATATAAATATAAATATACTCTAGATCCAGTAACAATCTCAACTAAATTATATCACTACTAAATATTATTAGTTTAGGGACCTTCAACGTGGGGTCTGCGACCCATTGGAGGTCTCTACAGCTACTTTACAGGGGTCACGGAATTTTGGTGGATGTAACAAATTCATATATTTTTATATATAAACATTCAAACTGTATTAAGTCTTTATATAAATCAATACATGGCACTAGGCCAGGTTCAATATACAGTAAAACTAAATTGTATTCAATACACTGTATGCAGTACTGTATGCAGTAGAGGTCCCTGCCACTCTAACCTACTCCAACTCCACCCTGCATTTTCCTATTTTTTTAGTATTATTTTGCATCTTGTCTTTGGATACTCCATTTGATTCCAATGTGTTATACCTCACTCCTGTACAGTGAACTAGGACATGTAAACAAACCGAAACCAGATATCACCAATACCACTAAAGTAGGCCATTGTATACTGAGCTGGTTCATGAACCCAGAATATTCCTCTCAGTAACTCTGCATGCCTGTCACGGTGATAAAGCCCGGTGTTTAGTACAGTTACATAATTCCTCAGCTGTACAGAACACAGAACTGCAGCAGTAGCAGCAGCAACATGTGCTTTCCACTATCTTCTCTGATAGAGAGCAGGAACACAGACTGTGATGATGAAATACCTCAGGTAATTATCAGCCAATCAGATTTTCTCTCTCTCTCGCTCTGTTTTTAGATTGTTATTCTGGTTGTGGACAGCACCGACCGGGAGCGTCTGACTCTGAACAAGGAAGAGCTGCACCAGTTGCTTGCACATGAGGTACCGGTCCCTAAGATATAATTAAGTAAAGCCCTTAATTGTGAAAGACAATCAAAAGTTACAACTGAAAAAAAAAAGTCTTTTTCTCACGGAAGATTTTCAACAAATGAAGCCATTATTTAGATTTAGATTTCAAACTAAGGCCCAGGGGCTGGATGTGGCCCGTTCAGCTTTTTGATTCAGCCCACTAAACTTTTCCAAATTAAGTAATTTATTTATGTTATCATTATACTTCTGCCTTTTCCCTGCAATGCCCACATTTTACATGTTGAACGCTCCATCTATCTGCTCCTAACCCGGACCCAGTTTTTAAATTTTTGGACCCATTGTGGCCCACGAGTCACAGTTAAACTGTACTGCTGTACACCAGCTCAGGTCTTGTGCCTTGTTTTGGACCTCTGGTAATTTAGGATAAAAATTCAAAAACCCCAAACACTCAATTCAAACTCCATTAAGTTTGTCTTTTGTGACTTGGACTGGAATTTAACCCTATAGACTAAATGTCACACGCATGACCTGGACTTCATCTAAATTATGTTTGATGACTTTAACCTGGAATCCTCTCATTAATTACTAGTCTGTAAAACTGATTTAAGACCTGATGTTTGACAACGTGACACAGATAACGTCTTAAAATTGCTTATATAATAGCAAACAATTAAATTTAATGATACCAGCCGAACTGGTTTTCTACAGAGTTTGACTTATTTGTTAACATTCAATCTTTCAGTCCATTTTATTCATTCATTTTAATTTTAACACGCTTCCTTTTAAATGGGTTCTGATAGTAAATGTAATCTGAGTGTGTTTACTCACCATAAATAACACGTTTGTCAGTTGGTATCATTCAGTTATCACATTTTATGCATTCATTTCTGTCATACTTACATATTTAAACCTTGGAATTAGCCTGTTTTTTATTTCTTTATTACTTACATTACCTGTCATAAATACCTAGAAGCTAAAGATAATATTATAATGAGCTGCACCGCTCCCTTCTCACACTGACACCAGTGAGTTTCACTGTTGCTTTTAAATTGAACCCTTTTAAAATTCAGGGAAACTGCTTGTGTGTGCTGTTCATGATGTGCTGACTGAAATTACACTTGCGCTCGCTGAGAGTGATTGCGTCACACACCGTGGACAAACCCATGACACGACACAATGAGGAAGTTTCAGATCACGAAATGTGACTCAGTGAGGGTGTCAACAGACAATGTGTCTGAATATTCCACTGACGCTGTTGCTATTTAGGCTCATAGGTGACGTGGAAACAATAGCTGTTTTTTTTGTTCTGTTTTTGTGTGTGTGTGTGTGTGTGTGGTGCAGATTAAGCTCTCATTAAATTATTCATGGAATGTTTTTGGGCCACTGTTTCCTTTGCGCCTTTTGCCCACATGGAACATGTGTACAAACATGTGGGCCATCTGTGTCAGCAGTGTAACATTCAGGGTTGTCTCCTTTCCTCTATCAGAACCTACAGAGTGCGGCTGTTCTCGTCCTGGCCAACAAACAGGACGTGAAAGGCTCGATGACAGCGGCAGAAATCTCCCACTGCCTCACACTCAACTCCATCAAGTCTCACCCCTGGCACATCCAGGCCTGCTGCGCCCTGACAGGAGAAGGGTGAGTGACAGTCCCCCCCACACCCTCACACATCTGCATTCACCTTCAAAGCCTGCAGCAAACTACACTTACTGTAGTCACTGCATTCTGAAGAGGATTCTTAGCAGTAAAGGTGCTAATTTTCCCCTCCAAAATCTCTGCAGTTTACCTGCCACTCTGGACTGGATGAGGTCAAAGGTCTTGGCGAACTGAAACAACAAGACTTGCGTGACGACAATGCTCCTGAAAATGTTCCAACCTCATAGACAGGGCACTGACAAGTGTCAAGATTGTTTACGGTGCTAAACCTGGTGCCTGTCTCACCGCACTCACAGTAAAAACATGTCATACCTGAGAGAAGGATGACGTCGTAACAAACAAACCGTCTTCTGCTACACCACCCTGTCGTGTTTATAAATTAGGTCGCTGACATGGCGGTTGGCATGCATCCACCAGCCAAGAGGGAGGAATTTAGGTCTTCATTCTCTGGGAGCTCTGCTGAGTATGTGTGATTATGTTTTAATAATCTGGTCAATCGTCTAACAAGATACTGCATTAAACTTACAGATAGTATATACGTAAGAAAAAGATGTCTCCGCCCACTTGCTCACCCATTTCACGGCTTCAAGACTTGAAATAAATAATGTGACCTGCTACCACTCACACAAGAAGACAACTACTGTCAGGAACCAGCCGTGGCTAAGTAAAAACTCACTTGAAATATCAAAAACATTGTAAAAGAAAATGAAGTGAAGTCTGGCTACCGTAGCACACACGTTTGTGTATTATTTGTTTTTGTTATTTTTCAAGTTTTTTTTCAAGTTTTTTTTTTTCAATTGGTGAGTTGCAGAGGAGCTAAAAGTTCTTTGACATGGAAATGATATGAAGGACCCCACGACCACAGGGTAAATGTGCCTGTTGAAAAGTGAAGGAAAATGTTCTACTCCCGTGTCTGAGTATGTGTGCTTTAATTCCTTTTTTTTTTTTTAAAGAGTCATATGTTCACTTTTAACATGCATGTACTTACATTCAAAACTAGTGCTTCGACTTTAGCTATGTTTTATTTCTGTAGAGGACAACACTGGAACTACACCAGCTATAAGCTTTTAATAAGTAAAACCATACTGTACCAGAATGCAATATTACAACCGATCACTCAACCTACAGGTTAGCCAATGAAGATGATGGAAGGAAGTTTGAGTATTTTGTAGGAACCTCTATATTAAGAGGCAGAAACTGGTGACCTTCTTGGTGCAGGGCTATAACCATTGTGTTAAAGTGTGGTTCTAATGTATTCGTTTTTTATTTTTGTTTTATTTTATTTTTTTATATTAATAAAGAAATTAAACCAAATGTGTTGTTTGTCTGAAAATGTGTTGCTAAAAGGTACTGACCCTTGGCTGAATGCAGTGTGACGTCAGTATTGACTAACCTTCGACTGAGCTGCCGAACAGCATATTGACCATTTGTAAAAAGAAGTGTAAGCCTATAAAGTACAAGAGACAGAGGGAGACATTTGTTGTCGTTAATAATCCTGTGTGAGAGAGATTGGGAAAATGTCACAAGGTCAGGGGGCATCCGGATTTGAACCGGAGACCTCTTGATCTGCAGTCAAATGCTCTACCACTGAGCTATACCCCCGTGCGTTTTAACACTCAGAGAATACTCAATTCAATTCTGAGCCACTAAGAACACGTACACCTTGTGATGGAGGAGGAAGAGGGTAGAGTGAGTCCATGATTGGCCGGTCTTACCGAGTAAACCAATCAGTGTAAGCGGGCTTTATTTGTTTCTTCCTTAACAATGTTTGACGTGTAAAACGTCGGTTTCTCCTCACCTTTAGACTGATACACTCCAGTGACATCTATTGGCTAATACTTGTAACAGCAACTGATGAGCAGAGAAACGTTAAAAGGGAATAGAGATGTAAGATTTTTTTAAATTTATCTATTCTTTCTCATATAAATGTTGTTGTTTTTGGTTTGTGAATTACTGCAATTTTTTGTAACCTTTACCCGCTCCTATCATTTGGAAGGAGGAGTTTCCATGAGTTTCCATCGATGGCCCTCCACACCTGAACACCATCAGAGAAGAATGCGTTAAACGAGCATCCCGTGAGGAAACGACACAAGGTAGACTATGGTTGTGGTTAAAGCTGATAACGGGAACTGAGTTAAATGTGATAACTTCATTCTCAAGCCTACATAGTATTCTGTAAATGAAATACTTACAATTTGGGTAGCTCTGTGTATTGTTGCGTACTTGTAGGTATAGCTAGATATTCTTAACCAATTTTTATTTACCTGAACAGACTTGAACTTGGCTAATATTAATTCATATTAATATGACCCCTTTGGAATATATAGGCGGTTCTCAAATTTTGAGAGAAAAAACACAACACGACCAGAATAAATATATAACACACAGATGTATAGCCTGCATTTATTTATTTAATACAATTTCAGCTTTGGATTTTAAATTGTACAAATTATTTATTTCCTACTTAAAAAACAATCCAAACCGCCATTTTTTTTTTTTTTAATCTTGCGTTCCCCCTAGTGACACATTATGGGAATTTCTGCATTATGTCATCGTGATTATAAATAAAAGCCACAAGAAGCGAACTACAAGAACATTTGTCAAATGTTTGGCAAAGCCTAACTATCGTTTGCTATACTTCAGGACTATTCTTCCGTATCTATTTGCTCTTTGCTATTTTATAGCATTAGCATTAGCCAAAACTACGTTGAAGCCTTCTTGTGTCAATAGTTTCTGACCCTTTTGTCTTCTACAGTACAGTATGTTATTGTAGCTACAGTATGTGATACTGCAACAGCTGCTGTAGCTCAGCCAGAGAACTAAATCAGTGACAATGATTGGAACACTATACACTGATTTCACACTTTTTCCTATAAGAAATACACATTTAAACACACTTTAATGTACTTTTCTGTGAAAAGAATGTGCAAGGTAAATACACAAGTACAATATTCTTCGAAACAGAACTATTCCATTGTTTAACTGATAGAGTCAGCAGGGCCTATATGTATTACCATTTCACCTGCTGTAAACCACACTCTGCCCAGTGTTTACAGTCCAAATCATCAGACTATAGGCAGTAATTGCTGGCCCAGCTGTGACTGTAATAAACACAGAGATGTGGAGATTCCCATGTTTGCAGGAGAAACTGAAGAAACCCCAACAACGATAGGCATTGGAGTCAGCCAAAGTGCTTCTTAAAGATGTTTTTGTTAGCTTTGCACGTTAGAAAAACACCTATGTTTCTATTTAGGTGATTTAGTTAGTGTTACTGGGAGCTGTAAACAGGCTTGATATGAGATCGCTAACATCAAAACTAACACTGATTTGACGTCTGATCTGGTTAGCATCATTGGATTCTATCTAATCTCTGATGTTCCGTCTCATTATTTCTGTGCTGATATGTTGCTCTGATGAGTTGTGTTTAGGTTTTAGGGTTTCTCTCTTCACATGCTCAAGTATTTTTCCAATGCGTCACATCTAAACTTTATAGTACCTTAGGGTTCAGATTTAGGCTCCGTCCTCACTACACCTATGTCCAATTCAATTCATTTTATAACTGCGTATATTGTTAAGTATAGGAAACAGCCTCACACTTGATGTTTTTGCCCTTTTTTGCAGTTTGATTGTCAGACGTAGTTGTGTAGTCTACTCACATATACTTATATACTTTATTGATACCCAACCCTGTCTTGTTGAAATGGGTAGTTGAGGAACCTTCCAAAATGACCTTAGTTACATGAATGGCCTTTGGAGTCTCACTCTGGGTTTGTTCTAACTTTTTGAGAGGGTGGTGCAGGTTTGATTGTGTTAAATTACTAATGTTTGACAGATATCTTGGTCTGTAACTATACTGATTATTTTTTACAAAATTATGTTTTTTATCTTTCAGATTTTTTTTATGCTCCCCTGTGGTATTTGTTGGTACTTCCTCAGAGAGACTGCCTGGGACTACGAAGGGTGAGTTAACCAGGGTTTCTTATCTTCCTCTGTGCATTGACTTCTTGTAGACAACAGCATAAAAAGACAGCTGTTGGACTGTGTCCAAACAATCATAGACAGTCCTACAAAAGACTTCAGTCTTCTTAGAATGCTTTGCATACATCATTCAGGTCACGTGATGCATTCATCCCAGAACACGGCACTAGAAAACAACAGAGAAAGACACACTTCTGATCTAGAAAGAAGGAATCTTCTGTTCTTGAAAGTGTGCAGACGATCCAGATTTCTCCTCCCCTTCTCCAAAAACTTAATTAGCTGCGTAGTCACCATGGCAGCTGACGGACAGCAGTGAGGAGGAGAGAGAGCGTGAGGTTAGAAACAGTTGTGGTGTGTGGAGAGGGTGAGATTCAGAGGGAGAGAGGAGAGCAGTGGGAGGAAGTGCAAGGGATTGTGGCAAAAGTGTTTCAGCAAGGAGGAAACGTGGACGAGGACACAGCTGTAGCTTCATCCTCCGCTGTCCAACATGTGGATCTGTGTGGTGATGCTGTCCCTCTGTCTTCCTCAGACAGCGCTGGCTGAGGTTGATGGTCGAGCAACAACAGGTGAGCTGTGGCACCGCTCCATCATCACTGCTGTGTGTTCTCGCTCTTGTCATATTGCCTGTCATGTCTGTAGCTTCATTTAAAGATGTTTAGTCTGAGGACGAGGCTGCTCTAATCTTTGCCCCAGCAGTCGCTCCATTTGTGGGAACAGTTCAAGTTTATATTCATTCAGTTTTTGTTCTCTTTTCTCATTTCTCATTTCTATTTTAACATGCTCCTAACCACAGTTCTGTACTGTGGAGCATAGATGGACATTCTGCTCTTTTTTTTAAAATTTAACACACCAAAGAGAGAGAGACTTAGTTTACAATAAAGTGTACAATAAAAATGCCCTGCTCCACAAACATGTGGTGAGTCAAAACAGCAACACGAAAACAGCCTGTCTTTAAGGTTAAAATTAGACTTAGACTTGTTTTTCTTCTTGCCAGTCTGAAGTATGCAGAGTTTCATTCAGTCATGTACAAAAGTAGTGGAAAAAAAAAACAACAAAATACAAAGGACATGCTTAATTGTGATCCATTTTGAGATGTTAAATTTTGTTTGTTTTTTAAACTTTTTTCATTTAGATTAATAGTGTTTATTCATTATGTAAACAATTGTGTGATTATTTATAAAAGAAAAATAAATATGGAATTTTAATAAATGGTCCAAAGAGGCTGGAGTTCCAACCAAGGTAGAGGAGTGGAGAGGAGTTATCTCTTTAACTTGTCTATTTTTTTCCAGCAAAAATAGTATTTATTCCAGCCTATTTCTGGTCCAATGTTTCACTTTTCAACAACATTTTGGATATTTTGCAACATTCTTGCTAACAGCTCTATTTTTGTTGGAATGATTTGAGCTAACATTTGCCATTTGCCCTAATTCCTGGTAACGTCTTTTGTGAGTTTTTTTAAATAATTTTTTTAGTATATCGTTCCTTGTTTGAGGATATTGACCAACATCAATAACATCACTGTTTGAGCAATGATGCTTTTACAGCTGCCCACTGTTCACTTTGGTGATGGGTTAAAAGCAGATGTGAAATGTTGTTGTGTGTGCAGGGGTGTGCTGTGTCACAGTGACAAATAATTCACTTTAACTTTTCCCTTCACTTTACGTTCACTTTAATTGCACAGTGAATAAGACAAACATAGACCTGATGTCTCAACTACGTTCATTAACAGCATTTGCGCTGCACTTCATATTGTATTCAATGTGATAAAACACAATGCATTTGGAAGTACAGTAAATTCTTGTAACCATATCTGGCCCCCGCTCAGAAAGAAAAAGTTTCAACATGACTAACCTAATGTCTCCTCCCTTCCATTGCCTACGCTGCTCTTATCTGCCCTGTCAGTGGCTATTATATACAACTCACTTTTGAAAAATGACTTTGGTCCAAGGTGAACCATCTTCACCATCTGACGTTTCTACAAAGAAGAAATCTTTTCACTGGAACTGAACTGGAACTTCAGTGCTGGGCCTCCCGGCTCTAAGACGTTTGCTCAACAAATTGCCTGTAGCTGATTCATATGTTGGAGTTGAGAGAGTGAAAAACAATGGTTGGTATATTATTGTCTGCAGATCCCAGACGTACTGGTCTATTTTGTTCAATGTGGCCAAAGATAGTGAAACAAATGCGATGTGTTTTATTAACAAAGGATAAAAATAGTACAAATGGCAAGATGTCTCTCCCATTTGGATTTAAAGTGAAATATTTTGGAAAAGGAATGATCAGAAAAACATGTTGTACCTCTATTTTAACTCCTTCATTATTTGACTTATCAGACAATAGGACTAGTATGACATCTTCACTTTTGCACACAGCAGTTTAGTGCCATGACTTCGATCCAGTTTTTTTTTTAAATGCATCATCTCCTGTCTTACATTTTTATTGTCATACACACCCACTGGTGTTTTTTATTTATTGTGTTAGATTAGATTCCTGTATGTTATTTACAAGGGTTTTACTGCAGTATATCAGCAGCTTGGATACTCACCAGAGTAAACGCTGAGGATTTATTGCAGCAAACTCTTACCGTTTGTAAGAGTCATAAGCTACATATTCACATTTATTTTCTCAGGAAATTTAAACTTCAAGATTTTGTGTTGTTTCATTCAGTTGGGGTTCATTCACTTAAAAGTAATTAGAAAAAAAGTGAATGTTGCGACAAACTCGACCTCCGAAAGGAACAGGACATGTTTACTGCGGGTGATGCTGAGGCGTCTGTGCCGACTGCTTCAGCTTCTGCTCAGGAAGGGTGTGTCCTTCCAGACTTCTGTGAGCTGACCACTCACAGAAAAAGACAGCGTAATGTTGTGGTGTGGTGGTAAAAGACTGGAGACTGGAGGTCAACGTTTTAACCAGAACATCTGGGTTTCCAAATATGCATCCACTTGAACCTCACAAGGACTTTCACTCGGACAGTATTTGCCGTCAGTGTCCCCTGTCATGCCTCTGTGGCCTTTCTCTCTTCAACTGTGACTCAATGAACCGTTTAGTTTGAATGTGTGGAGAGTTGGACTTTGCTATGCTGCACAAAGGACAATGATGAAGTGCGTTCATCCTGTGTTTTCATTATCAATGCTGAGACATTTGTCTTCAAACTGAGGAACCACCCTGTTGTTTTCTCAAAAAGATTATAGGAATTACAAGACAAATCAAGGACCGTTTAGATATTGATTCATCGGTTTGGTATTCTGCTGAAATATTCTCCCTCAAGGATTTTAGGACGTTGATACGAGTGCGTAATTTCAGCAGCCCGATGGTGCTCCACAGAGAGGTTATATCGCATATACAGTGGAAATATATAATTTACTCACAATTTGCACCACTTACTCAGTGTAATACCTCGGTCTGTTTGGTTGAATAGGTTAAAGTTAGTCCATTATATTTTAAATTTAAGTAAATTATACACAGATAAAAACATCAGAAAATAACAACCTGTTATCCAAAATAAGAGCTTTAAAAAGATGAAATCAGCTCAAACAGGACTACAGTTAGTTTTAAAACCTGATGGAAGACAACTGACAAAAAAAAAATAAAATCCAAAAATAACCCTGAAACATGTTTGACAAGGACAAAAAAGCTCCAGCGTAAAAGTATTTCCTGCCCTCATGCGAGCGGTTCCAGCCGAACAAAAAGAGTTTCTACTCCAAGATGGTTTTTATCAGTTCATACAGTTTCAGTAACGTCGTTATCTGGTATTGATTACTTCTGGCTGGAGAGAGGATGACCTGATCAGATATTAAAAGCCATTACATCACATTTAAAATCTGCATCCAACACAGCTTTCAGAAAACACAGTCGGTATCCTTATCTGGTGCACTGCAAAACCTCAATAAGTGTGAGCTCAATGTTTTCCTCCCTTACCTCATAGATGCCACAACAGGGCGGAACCAGTGATCACACATTAAGGTTTAATCAATGAGCTGCCACGAATGCACTGAGACATTAGTTTATTAAATCAAAGGGTGGGGTAGAATACAGTAGTCTAGTAAGGTCAAAGATTACATGGTCCGGACAGAGGTTTGCAATATGATGCAATGTTGGTGCTGTTGGCGAGAGGACATCACAGTCAGAAAGGGCTGAACACAGGGCGATGGTTAGAGGCACGGTGACCCACAGTGCAGTATGAACGCTGGGGGTTTGGCAAGGAACAAGTGGGGACCAACGGTCGGTGTTTTCCACCCATGCTCAGGACAGAAATGTCCACCAGCATTTTACTGCTCTGCTGTGGCACAGGCCTCTTTATGCAAATGTGTCCAAATGAAATCTTTAAATTGAATAAGATGACATTTGTTTTCTTGTTTGTCCATTATTCGCTGAAGTTCTCGACTTTATCTATTTCCCAGACTAACGAGGAGCATCTGTAGGAATGAAGTAAAGAAGCAGAGAGTTCTGGTCGGTTAATTTTCCCATTAACATTTCCTGATAAAAATCACTGTGGGAGAGGGCGTGGGAGGCCGGTTTGCATGCAACTGGGTTCTCTGCTGTCTTTAATCAGGCTCAGAGCATGTACAGAACGGCTGGTGTGAGAGTCCTTCTACAGAAGGTGCAGGTGCTCAGCACAGAAGAATGTACATTTTGTGAGCTCATTCTGAAACATACGATAAAAACATGAAACACATTGTTATGAACCCTTTCACATTTTTCGTTAAAGTGAGTTCATTCAAACTCATTGAATTTTATACAATCACGCTCCGTTTCATTGCACATTGAATCACATTTTGGTCACGATGTGACGCTTTCTCTGCCTTTTCAAATGTATACATTTCATTTCATGAATATCAGTTTTAGGATGACCATAAATACATATTCCATTCTATTCTTTCATACGTCCAACAAACTCAGAATGTGAATGATGTTTTTTAGGTTTTATCCAAATAAGAATACATCACAGATTACCAACTGGGCAAAGCAGATAACAGTGTGGGGCCAAAAGTCTCAAGTTCGTTCAAAACATTTAGAGACAGCTTTATTCGATAAACTGGGAATTGCGTGTTCTGTTCTAAACAGAAATCTGATTTGCTTGGAAGTACGAATGAAGCTCTGGTGGGTCTTCTGTCTCAGTTTTTCACTGTTCATTGGGACGTACTATGAGTTGTAGTTATTCCTTGGTGCCTGGTTCACTGCTTCCTACGGCCAACTGCTTCTGCAGAGCAGGATTAAATGAAGTTGTATGCATGAAGTGGACGACGTTTTGATAAGTCAATTTGTTGCAGAGGTTCTCAAGAGTCGGGATTATTTAAGCACGTTTGTGTTGATATAAAAACTAAACCACGCATTTTTGAAGTCTGCAACTAACAATGAAAAATAGCTTTCTTGCGCATTGTGGCTCAACAGCTGGGTCAGGTTGCTAGGCTAATATCTTTTTGTTAACGCTAACATAGCGAAAGCTAACAAACCTCCTTTAGAAACTAGCTTACCTGGTAGTGCTTAAAGTTACAACTTTGTATAAAACGTGAATTTATTTACAATACATTGATGTGTTGAATACTGCCTGGTTTGTTGAAACCAAATAGTTAGATTAATAAAAAGACGAATCCTGGATTTCAGTCACAACGTTTTAGGGTAAAGCTATTACGGCTGAAACAATTTAGGTGTGTATCATTGACAAACACGTTATCAATTTCGACTAAAACTTTTATTTTCACTTGCCAAGAACAGAGTAAACAGTAGTATAAGTACTTAAAAGTATCAAACGTTTTGTCAACCCTTTACCTGTAAACCTTAAGTCATCAGTTTAACATTACAGCCTAAAATGATAGGTTACTTTTGGCTGGCTAACATTAGCAGCAAAGTGTTTGGAATCAAGATTCAAATGTTTGAGCATGGGATTCCCAAACGGGCCACGACAGATCCACTTAAGTCACCCTGCTCAGTCTTAATCTGTTCAGTTTCAAGAAAAATCTCAGCGTGAAGACACCGGAGCAGCAGAGACGAACTCTTCGCGGCAGCCGAGCTGACCACGGAAGCAATCACGGTGTTTCCGCCGAGACACTGAATATGGCGGAGTGGCTCTCTCGGCTTTTTTCCCCCTGGTTGTGTAACCATTTCCACCGACACTTCGAGCAAACACCTTCTGTAATCTACTGAAAGCCAGAGAATGTAAACAGTAGACGATTAGTACAGAGAGGCCTCCATATTTAGGGTTAGAACAGACACACCGCAAAGGGAAAAGGGCGGAGTAGGGCTTTATATAGCGTGGGTGACGTCATCTACGTGTGCCGTAATTTACTTAAAAAACTATTTACCGTAATACCATAAACCGACAGCGTAAGACCATTGACAGGAGTGTTGAAGGCTCAATGTATAATACTTTAGATCTAAGGACGAATGAGTCCAGGATAAGAAAGAACATGGGATTCAGGATAAATACATTCTGCTACACACCAGAGGCTTGAAGTAACAGGTACTATTTTTACAGAACAATGTCTTCTTTTGTTTTCATCACAGTCAAACTCCCGTCTGTAGGTAAAACACCTGGGTGGTCCGTGCCTAAAGCTGGCCCTTAATTTAAAATGACATATCAACATTGCCACCACTGTATGCAGTGTATTTTCGACACAACATGGAAACCATAGTGCTGAGTGAAAATAAACATTTATCTCCTCGAGAGCCCCCTGCGTCAGTGTAGCTTTTGAATCACACACTCTGTTCTAAAATTTGAATATGTGGTTTGACAGAAAACCATCCCACCCCAGTTTGTTACCACATATGTTTTACATTGTTTGTAGGACTTGACAGTTCCACCACACGCATCACTAAATGTTGGTTGTATTGTTTTTGTCTCCATTCAACAATGGGGTTAGCACACAGGGTCAGACTCAGCGATTTCACGAGTGAATTGTAATTCCTCACGAGGCCGAAAAACCAAGCCCTGGAGCACAACTGTAAACATCATTCTTAAGAGTCCAGATAAATCAGTCATTTGAAATGTTTCTCTGTGCTGTAGGGTCCTGGTAGCAGAGGGAAAACACAAGCTGTTGTGTGTTTAATAATTTGTACCACAAAATATTTGTATATATATATATATATATATACAATATATCTGAGAAGTAAATCGTAGCATTTCCCCAAAGACCAAAACAACATCTGGCATCTGATAGAAACATTAATATTTGACAGATTATAGGAACAGCGTGAGCTCAGAGGACCATGACACGTTGACTGGAGGTTCTAACAGAGTTCAGAGGTCATCCCCAGGTCACACTGTGATGAGCAGGGCCGTCTCAGGTGGAGAACTGACCATCACCACCCTGCTAGACAACACGACACATGTGGTGGTGAGTGTGGAACCGCGATGTATTTTTGACTTTAATGGTTTGTAGTTCATTATGATTATTTTTAAAAATTTGGCCTAGATCTTTCTGTTTTAGTTGGGCCAAAATACTTTGTTCTTTTCTTTTTTATAAAAGTAAACTAAACACTGTTTTTCTACTCATTTGGAGAGGTATACGGTGTGACAGCCTGGAACTCAACTGTAATCAAAGTGAACTCTTTATGACTGCATAACACAGGCTGTAATCACAGTCGCACCGATATACCCACTGACCCTTGTGTTTTTCTGTCTGGAAGGAGGATTCTGGGAAATATTATACATGGCGTAGGTTCGGTCCTGAAGACAAGCGCACCAAAGAGCTATGGGTGGACATGAATGATGTACGACACGGCCAAGTGAGAGTCCATGCAATTCTGTCAAATTCGTACAAGCAAGCTGTGGTGAGTACAGTACAGTACAGTACAGTACAGTACACACACACCATGGACTGTGTAATATGGTAATACCTCATGAGTTCTGTTAATCCTGAGTGAAAAGTGTCTCTATGACAGGGGTCTCAAAACCATGGCCTGCGGGCCACTTCCAGCTCAAAACTAAATGTCAAAAGTATCTAAATTATTATTTAAATTAGTATTTAAATTTGCCACACTTAATCCACAGAATCCACCTGTCATACTTTGATGTGGTATTGTATACAGTAGCTCACTAGTACAGTATCTGACTTCAGGTCAAGAGGTCCCCAATCGTCTGCAGGAGCCACACAAGACAGTTCTAGTCTTTATAGACAGAATGTCACCCAGGCCACTAATTAATAACGCTTAACTAATTGGTTTTACACTGAAAATAGTTTTCTTTACTCTCTTTTTGATGTCTTGTGGTTCCCATGCTCCCTGTTGTTGTGTGAGGTCTATAAAAGCAAGGCTGGAATCTTCATGTTTAAACTCAATAAACCCAGAGAAAGACTTGAACAAGTTTAACTCCATTATCAGATGTTAAATAGCTGAGTGAAGCCAAACAAAGCAGCCTCTGTGTTCACACAGGCCGGGCTGTTTTGGGTGGCAGTCTATTCCAGGCAAGTGCAGCCCTCTGACGACTAGACTGAGTACTCAGTTAGATACGCTCCACTAGTCAAACCAGATTATTCTGATTTTAAGTGGTCAGAAAACACAATTATTTATCAACTTCAAGGCTCACCTAAACTAAACAGGAAGATGTCACTTTAGATTAGATTTGTTCACTAAAACATTGTGATCTCCAGAATGCTACGGGCTGATTCAAAATGTGTAGTCTCTGTGCACGTTTTATGGCAGAAACGTGTACGCGTTCAGGTCAAACAATAATTTAAAACAGGTTTACTTCAATTGTTTTTCATCAAGAGCAAAACACCTGGGGGTATAGCTCAGTGGTAGAGCATTTGACTGCAGATCAAGAGGTCCCCAGTTCAAATCTGGGTGCCCCCTAAATCTTTAGCTTGCAACTGCGCCGACATCCTTTTGAACTGAACAACACAACACAACACGATAGAGTGGTAGAAAACTGATGTAACGATGGGTTTTCATTTACATCAGTCTTCTCTGAAGGAACCTCAGCATCCCATGGGTCACGTTACTGCCATCTAGTGGGTCAATTATCCATTGGTAAACGATAACGGGTAACATCCTCGCTGATGAATACTGCACTTTATACGGTCTGTGTGACATTGGAAATGACTGGGAGGAGGTTCTAACGTCCAATGATTCTTCCTCTATAGGATAAAAATATACATTTAGAGGAACACAACAGTGAATCCGTGAACATGAAGTTAATTTTAACACAGGTCATGCGTATATATTATAAAAACGTGGAGAAGGAATAACTTTAGACTCAACTCATCTTAAGAACAAATGTCTTGATTATGTAAATGTCACAGTGTAGGGGTTGGAAGTTGATTTTTCTTGGAAAGCTCTCGGTCAGTTAATAGTCAAGTTGTGTCTATGTTGTAATCGTATTTTGAAACCGTGTTACATCACAGTAGAAACATTTTAATAACATTATTATTGTTTGAAGAAAGAAAGCTCCCTAAGAGACCAATATTGTATCTGGTATGTTTTATTATGTCTATGACAGAGGAAATGTTCCTGAAGAGACATACAGCAGAATCCATACTTAATGTTTATATACACTGTTTACAACAACTCCAAATACATAATGCTTCATCATCAAATACTTTGATGATGTGAATATGATCAAAAATAATTAAATTATAACCTCAAAATCAGACAATTTACTGTTTTTGATCTACTAAATTCTGAATTGTCTCATTTGGTTCTGTTTTTTGTTTTTTGTTTTATTTTAGAGGGTCGCCCTGTCCTTTAACTTTCCTTTTTACGGGCATTACCTGGGGCAGATAACCATCGCTACTGGAGGTACATTCAGATGTTTGAAACAGATGTTCACTTGACCTTAACAGCATATGTTCGGAGCAGGAACTCCAACTCACACACTTTCCCATCTGGACACTTTCAGGCTTTATCTTCACAGGGGACATTACTCACCGCATGCTGACCACAACGCAGTACATTGCCCCTCTAATGGCGAACTTTGACCCCAGTTACTCTAAGGACTCCAAAGTACAATACTTAGATAATGGTAAGATGACACACTGTGTTTTCACAGATCCATGTTTAGTGGCATTTGTCTGACTCTGGTTTGACCTTCTTTCCTTCTTAGGAGAGATGTTTGTGGTCCAGTGGGAGAGAGTCAGACTTCTGGACAAAAAGTCAGCGGGAGTTTTCACCTTTCAGGCTGCACTCTACAAAACAGGAGACATTACATTTAGCTACAGAGATGTGAGAAGTTTTATTTCTCATTATTCTGTGTATGTGTCCAAAATTGTTTACAGAGTCAAACTACACCCAGAGCAGATAGCATGTTAGCAGAAAGATAATACGATAAGAAATAAGAGATGAAATGGCTAACCATAAGTAGCAAGGCTACAAAAATAGATACAAACATTGATTATTTAAATTAAACTCATTAAATGTCATTGCTGACAAAAAAATACAATACAATCTATCAATCAATCTATCAGTCAGTTATGCAAACCATTGATAAATAAATCACAGCAGAAAAAAGCTAAAATACAACATTAACTTTGTTTTTGATTTAATCATTTTTATTATATTTTATTACAAAATAGAAATGAATAAATATTAAAAAAAATAGGATCATTGCTGGTTATCTAGAGCCAAATATATAAACATGAGCTACAATCAACTTAAAATACATAACAACTAGCCAAATGCTAAAGTTGCCAAAAGAATTTGAGTTGAGTTTGACATTCTACACTGACACTGGACCATTTTCACAGGGGCACGCACTCACACAGTAAAAATGGAAACTTTTCTTTTCCAGGTTCCATTGACGTTGGATGTTATCAGTTCAGCTGAGCATTCGGTGAAGGTCGGGTTGTCTGACGCCTTTATGGTCACATCCTTTAATACACAATCACCAGGTCAGCTGTGTTGTTCTTACATACAGTAGTTATAGCCTTTTTTATCATATTTCTAATGAATCATTGATGTGTACGTTCTCTGACAGCAGAAGCCAGCAGCCAGAGGACGCTCTTTGAGTACCACAGGGTTGAAGTAGACACCGCACAGGTCACGACCAACTCTGCTATTGAGTTCACTGCCCTGCCTAGTAAGTCAGCTCTGTCCGTGAAGCACTGTCAGTGAAATACTTTATTTGTACTTCCATTGTACATGTGATTTTTTTTATATAATTTACTTTTTTTCCTTTTAGCGTGTCTACAACATGACAGCTGTGAGCTCTGCCACTCATTCAACCAAACCTTAGGTTGTACTTGGTGTCATGTTCTCCAGAGGTCTGTATCATTACATTATTATATCTTATACCAACCTACTGATCCAGGTCTTCATGATCCTCAAACTAATATACATGTCATGTGTACCAGGTGTTCAGACGGCATGGACCGACACAGGCAGGAATGGTTGGAGTACTCTTGTTCAGACGAGGTACTGCTGTAGGTCAGTGGAGAACGGCTCTTTTTTTTTATTCAAACAACATTTAATCTGATTTGTTATTGTGTATAAGCAGAGCAAAGAGACATCCTGTTCAGATTACACAACAGTTGAAGGCACCTTTGACTCCTCCGTCACACCAGAGATGGAGGGGACGACACGTCTGACTCCTCTACAAGAAGACTGTAAAGCTGTCGGTGAGACCGTGTTCAATTTCACTGGTGCTGCACTGAAAACTGAAATTTGACTGAATTAATGACTTTTTTTTTTTTAATTTGGATTCTTTAAAGACATTAAACAGTTTATTCTAGCTACCAACTGACAGTAATCATTACGAATCATTTTTAATTTATTAGCAATCAGATTAGTGTATAAGTCTTTTTCTACACTTGTCAATGTAATTTAGCCTCCACTTGTTTTTGCATGTCATCGAGTGTTTGTTTAAAAGCTGCAGTATTACAATGATTTAGACGTGTTCTGCTACATTAAGGATTTTACTATTGTGAATTTCCATTCTAAATACAGATGTGAGGACAGATTCCTCAGCCAAGAGTGACGCCTTTGCAAACACTGGGGTGATTGCTGGAATAACAGCTGCTCTTGTGTTACTTTTGGCTCTGGTACTTGTGGCTCTGTACATCAACTGCTATCCTAGTGTTGCATCTTCACATTACCTCATTGCAGTAAGCATTTAAAACACACCATGTTCACCTTAAAAAAGAAAGATTTTCACTTATATACAGCATATCGTCATCACACATACGTGTCCTTTTGTTGGTTTGTTTTTCCTTTTAAGAGACGTAGAAGTTACTGGCCGTCCCTGAAGTTTCAGAAGCAGCAGTCGGGCTACACTGAAGTGGAAGAAGGTCACGAGAAAGACAGCATTGTTGAACCTGGGCCTGGGCGCTGAAACCCAGAAACCTGGAAGATATTTGCATTGGACTGATTTCTATCAACATTCAAATGCAAACCCTCATCCAAGCATCTGTTTTCTGAAAGTGTTAATGGTTTGGAGATGTTAAGCAGCATTGCAAAAAAGGGATGAAACTGTTGCCACAGTTTGGAGTCCACAGTCAGACACAGCTTGAAGTTCATTTTCAATTCATCATTTTATTGCCATGTGTTATACCGACTGCAAGGGAAAGTGGAACGCTTACCACAATTTCATGAAAAATGCATCAACTCTCTGTTTTATATAAAATAAATAAAAAAAAGTGTGGTTGGACTCCTGTGTCAATTTCTGCTGCGTATTAATAGCAACACTGGTATTATTAGATTCCCATTGTTTTGTATTTGACACGTTGTTTAAAAAAATAGAAAATATCTGGGTGAACTAAGGAAAGTTGGAGGTATAAGAGCTGGAATAAAAAATATATGGAGTAGAAAATCACTGGAGAACCTGACCCCTGTTCTTTATTTGGTAGTTCAGCCTGTGTTAGTCCAGGGGTTATACATAGAAAAGTACAAGTGTATCAGAATAATACATTAAAAGAGGGGAAGAATCCAGTGTATCGGGCGAAAGTACAGCTTTTTAGCCAGCAGGTGTCTCTCTATCCTAAAGCTTCCAACGCCGTAATCTAGGACGCGCAGTGAACGTGGCAGATGTGTAAACGTGATTTGAAATGACTGTTTTATTTATAAAAAACCCACAACAACAACAACAGCAACACTGAAAACATATGAGTGGTTTGGTTTCCCACGTGATTGTAGATCAGGTCAGAACCATGTGTTGCACACGCAGAGATAATGGCCTGGCCCGGATTTCTGTGCAGTTGCTCGAAAACGCAAATTGCAACTGATCGATTTCGTTAAACAGCGCGCAACACGCACATACGCCCTCATAAAAACATGTGTTCATTTAAACATTTCTAGCTTCAAATCAATTGGACATTGCTTTCAAGCATGTAAATTATTGAACCTCCCATTCTGACTGCTTCGGACACGCGCACGGCGGAGGAAGGGAGGGGGCATCAGGAGCGCGCTTTCCGTGTCTGGTTTAGTGGACTGACAGCCAGCTGTGTGCGCGAGAGACTACAACGGCAGCATCGAGCTTCTTGATTTGCTCCACACAACCACATCAGTGTTGGTCCGCTCCCGACCATTGTTGACGTGAAACGAAGCTTTTTAATTTTCAAACGGACTCATAGGACCGGCGGTTTCCGCGCTCAAGAACACACAGAGGTAGAAGAGCATTTCTCCACCATGAATCCGGAGTGTAGCAGATGTAAAAAAGTCGTTTACCCCACGGAAAAAGTGAATTGTCTGGACAAGGTAAGAGTGTGATTGAAACCGTTTTACTTTCTCTCATTGTCCACCCATTACTGGTTTCCTGTAACCGTGCGTCCTGGCTGAGCGTTAAGCCCCGCTCGCCTGAAACAACGAAATGTTCTTATATTTTCTGAATGAATCGAACGCACCGTGAGAGGACAGGTATTTTGTTAGCTGCTTTAGCCTAGCTCTTAGCTTCTATCAGTGAGCCGCTGGGGAAAACGTGGAACGTCATAAAAATGTCAAATTATGTAAATTTTATAGTTTCTGTAATATGCGTTTGACGATAGGCATTTGTTTAGTATAAGAAACCAGCGATTTAAGGCATTGGTTTTGTGTTAAATATAAAGTAGAACCCCGCATGCTTTAAGTCAGTTCGGGGCCTCACTTTTACTTGCTGTAAAATGAATAATATGCCTTAAATAATATATTTATTTTAAATAGTAGATGCGCAGATGCCAAATATAGGGTTATGGTTATTTAACTACAATATACAATACAATCCAAAGATCCAGGCATTTCACGCCCTCATTAAAAAAAACCCCATCGTGGTCAGATGTCTGTATTAAATTCACTGGCTAATCCCAGTCAAAGATGAACAGTTCCAGTCAAAGGCTGTACCCTAATCTCACCCAAGATGGTAATCCCATCATTTTCACCCACGGTGAAATGGTCACAAATAACAAATGGGAGCACTCGAACACAAAACCACGCAAGTTCTAATCTGTCTCTCCACAGTGGCATTACACTTCCTATCTCACAACTGACAGTACAAAGCAAAGTCAGTCCAGCCCATTGATTGACCCCTACAATCTTCCACTTGGCCCCACATAGAGCAATTAATTACCTACCTTTAGAGGACCACATGGAATGTCCAAAGTATAAGCAAAAAAATCAAATCAAAGCATGCTTTCCTCTGGGTATTTCAGTCCAGAAAATTGTGTTTGGCTCCTACAAGAATTCTATTTTTTAAATGGTCCAATTTGGCCTGTTTTTTTCTTCTAGTTGCTCTATTGTTGTGGTTCATTTGAATGTGTGACTGTGTCACCCACAACTTGGTAGAAAATGGAACTGGAACAAGTGTGTTTAGCCGCCAGACATCTGCTAAATTTAGTAATTATCCAGGTATTGTCCCAGGTGCAAAATTTTGAGTGACATCAATAACATTCCTTCAAGATTTATTTGACCCACAGATGGGTTTAGCAAATGACAAAAATGTACAATTCTTTGCTAGAAGAAGTCAGAAGCAAACTACTAATGTAATAACCTCCATGTGTCTCAATTTTGCCCCAAAAGCTGCATCCCTGGAGAACAGATATGGGCCAACAATCTATAAAGGCGCCTAATGCTTTATGATTCATTGCTACATGTAGAGCAAGTGGCAAATATTGGGACATGGCTAATTTGTTTTAAAATCCTGATTCTATATCTATCAGATTTTTTTATTCCTTATTCTGCTTACAGAGTAAAAATCTTAACCTTTCTGGTTTTCTGGAGTGTTGTGCAAAATGTTGTTCTTGTTCTTGCATGTTGGAAACCAAAAAAAGACAATTATAGATGTATTGCACTTAATCCCGCTGCTTCTCTTAAACTGTTATATTGATGGGTGGAGTCTGCTTTTCCAGGCATATGTTTACACCGTTTTACAAAAGCATGGCTTTGGGCTAGTAGATAATTTGGCTAATGGATGCTCAAATGGCTATTGAAAATCAATCTCTGTTTAAATGTACTTGTGTGTTTGGGTTGACAAATGATACAAGTGGCAAAAGGGAACATAAAGTTCATTATCTGAAGTAGCATCAGCTCTCAATTCGATGCATTATGGTCGTGCTGGAAAAATGATTTATCCAGGAAGAAGAATCCCTCTTTGCGTACAAGCGGTCCACTAACATTACAAGGCATATCAGCCTGTGTAAAGCCTGGTATCGTTACGAAGTCGAGCACAGCCTGAGAGTGCTGGGGAATCTGGCCTGTAGCAGTGTGCATTCCAACAAACCGACACTCCCATAAAACATGCTCTGTCAGAGGCCCGCTGTGCTGTCTCCCTGCTCTGAACTATGCACAGGAGAGCAGCCTGGCGTCTGTCTTTGCTGCCATTCTTCATCAGTGCTCACCCATGATTAACGCCTTCACTGTGCCTTCTTTGTGGCATACTTGCACAGCGCTAGACGTGTTTGTTTAAAGCAGCCATGGTGACGTTGTGGTCGAGGCTCTGTTTCATGTGCAAGGTTAGACCAGGCATAAACTGTAGAGGCCTTTCAGGACACTAGGCTACAGCTATTCAGTTTTTTTTTTACCCCAAAAAGTAAATCTGAAACCCTGCCTTTACCTGACAGCTCACTTCTACAGTACAATACACCTCAGTGGAGCCACAGAGGCCTGCGTGTCTGCCTGCTTCTTTCCAGTATAGCAGGTCTAGGCCCAGCGGAGGGGGTGGGCCAGTGAGCACTTGCAGAGACAGGAAGTGAGTTTTAGTAGAGGCAGTCGTTGGTAGCAATTTCTTTTTCTTCCTTTTTTACTGTCCCCTTGTTGCCTAAAGTGTTCGTGGAATGCAAGAGGTTGCAGTGAATGCATCTCCTCAAGCATAGGACTTGTGTTTTGACACAAATTCTTCCTTAAACTTGAAGACAGCTGTTGACCTGGAACCAATGAAGCTGCACTTTGCTGCATTGCTCCACTGGTTGAGTGACTTGATTTGCTCACATGTCCATTTTAAGATTAAAAACCGTTTCCCCCACTCAGGAAGTTTACAGTTTGAAGATAACTTGAGAGAACAATGTAGAGTTTTCTTGTAAAGCTCATCATCGTTCACTCAAACGCTAATGTACGGCTGAGTGTCTGGGCACTTACAGGCTTCATATGAAAAATGTTCCATCACATAAGGGCAAAGGAGATGATATAAAAACATTGACTGGATGTTCTAAAAATAATCGCGAGGATTGTTTGGAGTAGGTTTGAGACTTACTCAATATCTGTAAATGATTATGAATTTGGTAATTATTATGCAAATACATAAATCAACACAAGTTTCTGTTTTTTGTTTATTTTTTTTCAAATTAACTATCAAATGAATGATCAAATTACCAAAAATTTTTTGAACTGTTAGCTAACATTAATACTAATGGATCAGCAACATTTTATGTTTAAATGTTTGGATTAGGAAATGTTTCTATGGACTCAAGCTAACTCCTTGGTTGGTGACCAGCCCATTCTTTTACCATACAAGTATATGTAAGTGTGATGTCATGTGTGTTGCCTCTTACTAAGTAAAAGGTCAACAAGTGACACATTCGTAAAAGTGTGACTTATTTTGGTACACCACTAGACACGTGTCAAAAGAGCCCATTTGGTGTCACTTTAGTTGCAGTCAGAGCTACTCCGTGCCACAAAGTAAGTCCATTAAACAGACAGTGACTGGCTTTAAAAGGATTTTAACCCTTGATTTTCTGTTTCCTTTCTCCAATCTATTCTGTCCTTCTTTGTTCAATGATCACCTTTAAAGGGTTCTAATAAATACATTTTACAGCACTGGCAACATGTTACAATACATTTGTTTACACACTAAAAATGTGGGTGTTACTTTGCTGTTTTTTGTTTATTGTTTTTTTTTTTGTTTGTTTTTTTTTTCTTTTGTTTTAGTTTTTTGTGTTTGGCTCCACTGTGAGGTTTCTGATTATGAAGTGGACCACCGTTGTGCTGCCACTGCATTTCAGTCACAGGAAATGGCGTAAAAGAAAGGCCAAAGGTCAGACGCTAATTTTATTCAGATTGAGCGGGAAGGACTGTAGGTCAGGGGTAAAAATGTTCAACCTCTACTCCATGAGCAATTTAGAGGTGGAGAAAATTCAGTTTAAATGCCATTAAATAAAATCAATAAAGGTGAACTAGACTTTTTTTTTCTTCTTCCCTATCAAGTTATACTGGAATGAGCTGACAGTCTTTACTGTGTTTGGCTGGTTTATTCTGAGTGCTGATTCATATTCTCCACATGCTCGCCACAGTCATAGAAACTGTTTAGCCGCCACTGTTAACATGCTTTGATGAATCAGTAACACAGTATCATCACAATCACAACAGTGAGCGTCTGGGTACTCTGTATTTTTTACTTAAAAAAAAAACCGGAACAACTCCACATGTGTTTTTTTGCCTTATGAATAAATCTGGACAATAATTGTTCCACTGATGATAATAAAAAAGGAAGACTAATGACAATAACTTACTATACTGACATGAGACTAGTAGGGGAAGTGCTTTCACAACCCATTGTGTTTTAAAATATATATACAGTACAGTGAGCCAGCACTGGGATAATAATTAGTTTATGTTCTATCGTCCACTCCATGTCAAACGAAGCACATACCTGCTAAATAAACGTACATTTCTGAATATTCTGAGTCTTCCTTAAATTAAAAGAAAAAGCTTTTGTGATTTGGAAAATTTGGCTTTGGCTATATTAAACAATAATTGTTATGTAAAAACAAAAAAAAAAAAAAAAACTTAAATATATTGTATATTGCCATTTGGTGTAAAAATAGAGAAACTGTTTTTGGACCGTATTGTTCTTTGCCAGCCCAAAGTGGTACTGCAACCAAACATGTTTTTCAATGTGGTTGACAAGTTAGACTAAAAGACTTTGTCCTTTTTTTATACACCATTCTACTTTCTCACTACACGTATACTCCTCACGGTGTATTTGAAACATTGTCATTAATTAGTCTTTGGAGATATTCTAAATAATTTCCTAGGTCTTAGATTTTTTTCTGCTGATTTAACTTAAACATCCTCGCCCAGTGTTATCCTTCGGACTTATAGTAGCGTACAATATTATCTACTCTGATGATTAAAATGGTTATTAAATGACTTAGTGTGAAAATCCATATAGCTGGAGTCATATATTGATTAGATATCCTAATTATCATCTACATAAATCACTGTTTTTTCAACATTTATAACAGGCGTAGGAAAAAAAAACCCAGGCCTCGCCTTGTGCTGTAACTTGTTTCCAGAAAATATATTCTTAGTCGATATGTTGTAAATCTTTCCTTATTCTCTGACATTTTATTTACAGAGCATCTAATCAGTTAATTGATCGAGTAAATTGACTAAAGGTCAAATTACAGCGACGCTTTTGTAAATGCGTGTTATTGCTAGTGGACCAGAACTAGTGAGCATTGTGCCCTCTAGATGACAGACTAATGCTGACAGCTACTGTCGTCGGCACCGGAGCTGCAACATTCTGTCATACTGTCACAAACAACACAAGTTACACATTTATTTATTATTCGTCAGTGTCGACAACATTGGCCGAGGTAGCATTGGCTGCAACACGCTCTGCGGATGGACAGAACAGAATTGACCGTACAACATGCACCAGGAAAGAATACATATTTCAACATACACGGTGGATTTGCATGGGGGAAATTTGTTTTGTGACAGATGCATCACCAGATGAGTTTTCCAAAACAGTTCTTTGTGTTCAAAAGGTCGGGTCATTTGTGTTGGCCTACGATTAGGTTTCCAGTAATATGCACATTAAAGCTTTGCATGTACTCGTCTACTTTGTTTCTGTAGTTGGCATGTTAGAAAGCCTTTTCTTGGTTAGCCTATCACGAAGCCATCTCTGTGTGTGTGATGCGTGCGTACATGTAGCTCCAGTGTTTTTGTTCGGTCCTTTATGTATCTGTTTTTCCACTGAGAAGAATCTATGACTCTGACTTGGCATTTTTTCCCTTCCCCACAGACTCCTTGGATTTGTAGTAAAATCCATGCGTCACATACAAAGAGACATATAACCCACATATTCACGCAGTAATACTTGGAAGTAGGCACATGTACTTGTGTGTCCTTGAGCCGTGCTGATGCAGGGAGTCGATGGGGTTTTATTTCTAGGGCTCTGTCTCTGCAGTGTCCTCATTTTCCACTTGACTGCCAGATCCTGTCTTGGCACCTAAAAGTCAGGTTTTTCTTGGAACCGGACAAGCCTAAACTGCTGGACGGCTTCTCTAACACACTTTTGGGGAAGTTTCTCACTCCACCTCTCTCTGTCTTTATGGGCACAGGGCCACCTTAACAGTTTGAATAATTCACATTGGTTTCCCTTAGTTTCAAAGTCCAGTGTGTAGTGGTGGCCATCCGCCCTTGACAGTAGGATGGTTCTCAACATGTCTGTATAGGTTCCGTCATCCAGGTCATCAAGCAGCTACATCAAGGGCAACTGATCTGTTTAGGTTCCTCGAAGACGTTTCACCTCTCAGAAAAGGCTTCTTTAGTTCTGACTGCTGGGAAATTTCTGATTTTTAGCCTTTGAAAGGTTGATAAGCTAGAACACAGTTTTGTTTTAGTTCCTATCACACCTGTGATCTTATATTTGTGTGTTCAGCCACATGTAAAGTAAACACACGTCGAGAGCAGCAGAAAGGAGCATTATTTGGCCTTTTTGTAAAAGAGAAACTGAATGTTAAGGTGTATATGTTTCCAGGTGTTGTGGAGTAAAATGTTTCCGTTTATATTTGACGGGTGAAAAAAACAGTTAGCTTCATAAAAATGCAGAATAAACAAATCGGATAAAGGACTTCAATCTTTAAAGACGTATTTCTTGAAGTCCACTGTCTACTGTTGTAAGTTTTTTTCTTTAAATAGTCATGTTAAATCATGTTAATCTAACACAGTCTTAGGTGCCATTTAGGGTCAAATGCCTTTTGGAAAAGAATGTGGTCACATGTCCTGAAACCTCCTGTGGTCTGAACCTAAAAACTCAGTCTTGAACTCCAGCATATGATCCTATTACTGGGCCTGAACGTTAAAACCAGGTGTGACGTGGTCCGAGGGTCGGCTGAGAAGGTTGCCGTCGAATTGTCCTGTAAAATGGTAATGAGGGTTCTCCTGGTGAAATGTGACTCAGCAGGTTGGACGGTCCTTAGTTTACTAAACAGTCACATTCAGGAGGCTTGACCCACGGTCAATATTTACTTTGTGAATGACTCCGAAGTCCAATTGCAGTGTATAGACACTTAGAAGCAACGAAAAACTTTCAAAAACGGAGAGGAGTAGAGAGTTATTGTGGAGAGGAGTGGAGTGGGCTGCTGCCCAGTACGTCGATGGAGCCGACAGCTATCACAGCTGCGAGTCAGGATATGGAATCTCCCTGCTGTATGATGTTGTTTGTGAAAGGATTTGCCTTTGTATATTGTCATTGGCCAGGACAATGGACTGAGAGAGCAGTGGAAAACACCTCCAGGCCTTGATCAGTCGTTTGAGGGTTAAGGAGTTTGCATTGAAAGACTTGACCCAATGTGTTCGGCTCTGAATTACAGCTCCTCTGAACGAGAGCCAAGGCTGGCTTTTCACATTTTTGTACCTCACAACATCGCTGGCTCACAGCTGCACACACACTTGTCAAATGCATACAGTTGCTTTTTTTTTGCGCCTACCACTCTGTGTGGTCCGGAACATCCAGACATAATAGACTGGAGATCAGCCCGTTGCCAGATTTTGTGCCGTTCATTTTTCAATGTTTGGTCCTGTTTCCATACTTAGCAGTTTCTGCAGCTTCCACAAACCTCTCCATCTGGGCGATACGCAGTCATCAGTGAATCACTGCTGTAACACAAGCTGCATTATCAAATTCTTATTATGGCCTGCAGAAAATTGTTCTCAGCTTCGCCAACTCCTGCTTTCATGTGTTAAGATTGCTTTTGCAGTGTTTTTCATCATCTTTTTCCATGCTGTTTGTTTATCACGTTAGTGTTTGTGTGGGCACTTGGCGTAGAAAGTGACAGAGGGTGGGTGAAAGAGTGAGGTATGTCAGAGCACCCCGAGGCCATGTTAATAAGGACTCCCCCATTCACTCCCTCCCATTATTCGCCACGTCTGTGCGCTCCACCCTTTTGTCCCTCGTTGATAACAGAAGCATCCAGATCATTGCTTCATATTCTGGTGTTTTTGTCTCTCCATACCCACCCCTCTGTTTTGCTCCCATCCCCAGTGCATTCTCCAACTCCTTTCTTTCATGTTTTCTCCCTCCCTCCTTCCAGTTTTCTTCACTCCTCCCTCCCGCCCTCCTTCCCTGCCTCGCTCCCTCTCGTCAATCCTGCTTTGAACCCTTAGGCCACAGATCAACCCAGTGCCAAGAGAAAAAAAAGACAAGGAGGAGGGAGGGAGACATGGAGCTGGATAAGATTGACATCACGGCCTTATTTAAAGATGGACACAGCAGCTTCAGATACGAACTGACTTAAAATGTATTTTTAAGGGGCCTTGGCTAGTTAAGACGTCACTTCTTCACCTCAACTGCGAACATCCAGTCAAGTCTATCTTATTTGTGTTACCTTAATAAACATTACTGTATTGACATAAAGAGCAGGGATGACTTTGAGACATGTATATTTGTAATAAGTCAATATTATATTAAATGTGGAAATCTCCAACAGATCCAGACTGAGAGTGTGCAGTTCAGTTAGAAAATAAAACCAAAACTTTTTAACTGATGTTTATAAAAATTTGAGAAAGCCTTTCGGTGTGCACCGCTAACTGTCAGAAATAGTTGCAGGGTAAGCCAGCAGGTGGCTCCACGGCCAAAGTGGACCTTTCCACAGATGACTACACCCCTAGCAGACCGCTAAATTGAAGCTAAAATGCAGCTAGCTGCTAACTAGTAAGCCCAGCATTCCTACTTGGTAGACAAACACAGTGGAGTCTGAGGTTTGGTGTTTCTTCTGAAGTTCCTCTATCTGTCCTCTAATGCCTCTGTGCCTGCACCTGGCATGTAACCGTTCACTGGTTTCAGCAAACTGTTCAGCAATTCCCAGATGTGGACGTGTGTGTTTGATGTAAGAAAGATACGTAAGGGGCTCGATATCTAAATACATACAAAATGATACTTTTTTTTCCAACGAGACATCACTACAGTCAGATGAACTGATTAGACTGTAAATAAAAGCTCATCTATTATTAACAAAACTGCTTTGTTCTACCTTCCTCCTCCAGCTACCTGGTTAAGTTAGTTCAGGGTTTTAGTGAAAGAGGAAGTGGGTTTCTTTGTGCAAGCGAACAAAACTGTTCCACATCATGTCCCCTTTTAACTGATGAGTCAATGTTTCTTATTTATTTTACAGTCGGCTCTCATATACAGTACTACTTTCTTTGTTACTGTTCAGCAGCTACTCCTTTTTTTTGGGGGGGGGGGGGGGGAGGGGTCTGAAGAAATATCCTGGCTGTCATCTCAATCATTATGTTGTTCTGTTCCTCTTTTCTTTTGACAGTTCTGGCATAAAAGATGCTTCAGCTGCGAGGTCTGCAACATGACTCTAAACATGAAGAATTACAAGGGCTACGACAAGAACCCATACTGCAATGCGTAAGTCATTCACAAGCCCTGATTTTTATTTTAAAATTTTATTTCAGTTTTTACCCCCGCACAGTTTTCAGCCTTCGTCTGAGGGACAGTGGCTGCAGTGTTCAGTCTGAGCACACACTGAAACAGGAGCCTAAGTGTGTGTGTGTGTGTTTATGTTTATGTGCATGTTACAACCCGACTGTTCTCTTTCTTTCTTTCTCCCTCCACTGTTGTTTATCAGTGTCAGTTCCAGCCCACACCCCTCCTCCTCAGAGCGCTGGCCGTATATGTGCTGTGGGAAAATGCCTCCATTTCTCCTCCTCCTCCTCTAATGGCAGGGAGGGGAGGGGGGAAGCTGGGGGGGGGGGTCAACAAAGGAAATTCCTTAAGTTCCTCTACAGTGACACGGGTGGACATGCTGAAAGCTAGCGTGTCCACTCGCACTCCTGCACAGTCCCTCACTGTGAAAGCTCTCAGAGAATCCCCCTCTTTGAGTTCTTACTACATTTTTCTCCATGTCCGTGTGCAGGGGTGCGTGGTCTGAAGGGGAATGCAGAGAGAAGGCGTTGTGTTATGTTTTGACAAGCTTTTTTTTATTTTCGCATTTTCCCCATCCCTGAAAACACCAGGATATTACTAGAGAATGAAATCAGCCACTGTCAGCCTTTCATTGTCATTTCTACTCTAGTGGAAACTTTGTGGTAGTAGAGAAACTGGTGGTTAAACTTTTTATAGCGCGTGTTGTCTGTTATTACAAATTTAGCAACATGTTTCTTGCTCCAAATCTAAAGTGAAATAATATGAATGATTTTTTATTATTATTATTATCTGATCTGATTTGCCAATAATGTCTTCACCCACACAGCTGTAGAAATTCAGATCTGAGTCAAAAAAAACAACAGGGCTGAGTCACAGCCGCCGACAGTCGTACATGCAGAGCTGTAACTGTACAGTTCGCCATAACACGGTTTGCATTGTGCCGGGTATTTTGCATGTAGCCAACAGACATGACACACAGAGTGTGACTAATAGTTTGGGCGTAACGCGCCTTTAGCTGCGTCGATTTCCTTAAGTCACACCCCTTATTTTTCCTGCCATTATACTTTCATAAAATGGAGTCAAAGGAAAAAGAGTATTCTTACATTTGTAAATGAGAAAATGAAATAATTTGATGTACAACTTGTATTCAAACCGCTAGAGCTGCCAATAAATCCACAACCATGTGCCATGCTGTTATGGTGTGACACTTATGTTTTCCTCTCTGGTTCAGTCTCACGATGACCCAGTCACATCTTTATTAAGGTGTGAACCATGTGCAGCAGGTGCCATCCTGCTTCTCTCCATAAACTCTTTGGCAGAGTTTTTTTTTCTTCCACTCCACGGAATTTCTCCATCACTTTCTGCTCCAACAGATTCAAGGCTCCACTTTCTGTTTATTATGGCTGCTTCCGTTTGTTTAAAGCGAGTTCGATTCAAATAAACATGTTCACTGTAAGAGGCTCCCTCTTCAGGAATGGAATGCTCAGGCAGAGGGCTCGTTCCTCTGTTATTACACTGTGGTATAAGTAGTTTATCATTACTCTTCTATATTTGGCCCCTGTAATTGATAGCGGAGTTGTTTGTTTTCATATATATCTATACTCCGTCCCACCTCTTCCTTGAGAATCTCGACACTAAGGGATGTCGCAGAGCCGAAGCCGGGTGTTGTGGGAGATTTAGGAGGACAGATAAGTAGACATTAAAATTCTTCGTTTCCCTCGGTGCCTGCCATCCTTTTGGGGTCTCTGTCCTACTAAGTGATAGTTTTTATTTTTATTTATCTGGAAATTATTATGATATTATTAAAACTTATCTATAGCCTGCCAAATGTCCACAACCTTAACAGTTTAGCGTAATAAAACCTGGCTGATGAATTTAATTTTAGGTGCAGAAGGGACTTAGGTTTCCAATACAGAAGATGTAAGTTGGTAAGCCACAAAATGCTAAAATTGTACTAATAATCAAAGCCGTTGAAGGAGATCTTTCTTCAATTCCTGCCAATATATCAGCGTCGTCTTCAACTAAACAGGATGAGATTTTAGTCAATTATTACGTAATTTAATATACTTTTTGTGACATTTTTGTTTGGTTGTGTGTTGTTTTTTTCCTGATGATATATGTGCCGTGGCTCAAAAAAAGGTTGGGAAACACTGCTATTTATTGTAATATGTATAATAATATATAATAGTCATTTCAAATAAATGGTAAGTACTCTGTGTGTGTGTGTGTGCATGCTTGTGTCAGTGTGCCCATTGAAATGAATGACTTGTACCTATCCAGGTGGAAATATTAAATCTGAATCACTTCAATACAACCTTTCCAGGTCTCTCAGAGTCAAGTTTTCCACAACATCTCCTGGTCCCACAATGCAAACAGACTTCTCCTTCTGCACAGTAGGCAGTTTGTTTGTGTGTGTGTGTGTGTGTGTGTGTGTGTGTGTGTGTGTGTTCGTGTCATGCGCGACCTCCTTGCTCCCACACCCCAGTTTGTGCCTCTCGTCTATTTTAAACGCTGACTTTTTTGTGTGTGTTCACCGTGTGGGTTTGTGCATGTGTCACTCGCTCGTCTCTACGACTCGTGTCCCTGCTGCACACTCAGACAGAGACTCTGACTCATCCATACAATGAAAGACTTACACAACGCACATGCAGGATTGAAGACATTAAGATACCACAGAGTCACAAATGTGCTGCCCCGGTGCAACATTCTTTTTAGGCTAGGAACAGAAATGCTGAGGCAGTGTCTCTGTTGAAGCCATGCACCATCTGAGGCAAACAAAAGGGATTTTTTTTTTCTTTTTTCTTTTAAGATCAGTGACGCTCTGACAGGAAGTGTGTTTGACCACAGAGGGGACACACCCAAAACCAAAGAAAAAGGAGCATATATATTGCCATTTTGGCATCTTTAATCAGAGGTCCTCCCCCCGGAGGAACAGATGTTGCAGAAAGACCCTAAGGGAGTCAGTGCATATATAGATGAACTCACTCCATAACAGACTGATACATGTTTCTGCAACTGATTATTGTTTATTCAAGCTACAAATATTGTTCATAGTTGTGTAATAAAAACAACTTAAGTTAAAAAAATCTGCTGCATGGACTTGACTAAATGCTTTTGAAGCTCTCACGGGCCACACAAAACGGCTTGGCGGGCCGCGAGTTTGACACATATGTACTAAAGGATATACTGTAGTCCTTATTAGGGTTAGGTTTAATGATGTAAATGGTGGCTCCTGCCCTAAATATTTGGAGTTACTATGTAACTCAAGCGCCCAGGTAGCTTCCTTAGCCGCCCAGCCACTGCGGCCTCTGTAATACTATAAAAAGGATACATTTTCCATATTTAGAAAAGATGGCTGACTTTAATAATTAAAAATTAAAACAAAGATTTGTCAGTACAGCTCTTGCCTTTTTTTAGTAGATAGACCAGGTTATAGAGAGACAACCACCACAGGTGGGTAGATTTTAGATCCTTCAAAATGTCCTGTGAACTTTTGCTCTTTCTGTGTTCTCTTCTTCACATTTTTTCAAATGCCATTTCCTTTTCAACAAATCAGATGTAAAATACATCAATGACGGTGAATCCCACAGGAAAAAAAAGAAAGAACACAAATGCTAACTCAGTTCCTGTATTGCCAAGACAACGATAAACATCTCTCCTAGATGCATTACACAGAAGCCCAGATAGTAGTTGAGGGTTTTTGAGGTCACCCGGAGCCCTAAGGCATGCTGGGAACTGCAGTTTATATATTTAATAAGCTACGAGCGGGGCATTTCCTCACGCTGAATATAAGCCATGTGCCGAACTCTCCTCGACTGCCAGGAATCTTCATTTGTGAAGCTTAAGGCTAATGTTGCACAAAAGCCGTTAGTGTCTTAGAAGAGAACGTCAGTGTGCACACGCAGCAGCGCTTAGATAATCAATGGGCGAGTGTGTGATGAATGGCTCCTGGAGTGGCGTGCTGCATGTCGGCGTGGAGGACGTGTGTTTACGATTTCTTCGGTTTACTGTTTGCCGTGTTTGTTTTAGGAAACGTTTTCTGCCCGCCCCCCCAGCAGCAGGAGGTCGAGCGGATACGGGGCTGCGACTGTCAAGAGCATCCATTCAGAAAAGAGCTGAAGACGGCCGCCCGTGACTTTACAGTCACCGACCCTTTGACCCTGTTGTGACTGTTGCATGTTGTTACTGTTCATCTTGCTCCTTATAGGCCCGGTACCATAGGTGTGTGAGAGTGTGTGTGCTTTCAGGAA